CTACATCTTTTAAACTGAAATTGCTTACACTAAAATTTGCAAAACCTATGCCAGTTGTTGACTCCGGCACTTGTGGTGTTGGATATAAGCCATTACCGTAGCCAGCAACAAATGGCACTGCTTCCGGTGGCGTATTTGTACCTTTGTCGTTAAGTAGTGGCGTTAGATTTTCAGGAAAATCGAGAAAATCTTTGCCATAGATGGCATAGTTTTGTGCAGCTTGAAAATACTCAGCACTTCCATTCGGTGGATGACCAGTGGTGTCTCCATAAATAGCGCGATTCACCTCCTGCACGTATGTATTACTGCTACTGCGACGACAATTTGATTCCAATTTTGAATTCCAATCGTTTTTCACATCTGTCTGCTCAGATGTCCCAGCGGCTGTGAAAGTTTGGTGCCAAATAGGATCCGTGAGCTTTTTGGATGTGGGTGCTGCTGCGGAATATGTTAGGTAATAATTGTTAGAAATGAATAGTTGTGAACAGGATTGGCTTACTGATTTCTTTTGTATTCCAAATCGGAAAGTCATTTTTAATTTTTGTCAATTCTTTGGCAATTGAATTTTTTAATTTTCTTTCTTTTCTGCTACACGCCATCAAAGGATTTTCTGCTTCCGCTTCGACTTGCGAAAATTCATCATTAGCACTCTCATACGATTCTTCTGGACTATTCTGCTCCTCGTTCATGTTGTTGCNTGCCAAGTGTTTTTTGAGGTTAATCGCAATGCAATTACCTACAGCAGTCAAGGCACACTGCAAATGTGGTTTGCAATTGCCAAGTGTGTACTGTTGTTACAGATTTGTAGCATACATTTAGGCGCGGTTTTGATTAATAAATGCACAAACAAGCATACAAGGAAAACATTCAAATAGATTTGTATATATAATTGTTTATTAATTTTTTAAATTGTTTTTACCACTATTACAAGTTTTTTCACCGAATTATAATTTTCAGGTGTTTATTCTTTAACTTACTGCTGCAGCCGGCTCTTCACATATCGCATAGCAAAACCCTGCGCCAGTACCCGCAATTCTACAAGGTCCTGGCAACTGTACGCGCGTAGGAGCACACCTAACGAGTTATTTTAAAATACGTCAATGCTTACATATGTATATCTCTTTTCAGCAGTAATGTACTTACAAATTATCTGTGGCATCGTCGCCGCAATTACCATGCTCGTTCCAACCCCAAGTGTAAACTTCACCATCAGTGCTGCGTATAAGACCATGCTCCGAGCCAAAGTGTACATGTGCTGGCACGATTGAAGTACGCAAATCTAGTTCCTGTGGCGTCGCCTGATTTTGTGTTACACTACCCATGCCTAATTGGCCATAACAATTGCGTCCCCAAGTTAGAATACGATTGTCCCTCAACATCACTGCATTATGTGTCCATCCGGTGACTATTTGTTTGATCTCCTCTTCGAATTGAAATGCATTCGCTTGACCAAATTTATTATCACCCAAAGCAATAACACGCTTTGCGCTAGCACCATATTGCAAATCAACAACTTTGATTAATATATGATTCTGACCACTTGATATGCCAGTGATGCGCACTTCGGTGGGCTCGTTTGCATGAATTTTTATAACCGGCGCACAATTAAGCGTTGTCGCTGTTATGCACAAATCCGCAGGTGGCTCATCACTTATACGCAGCCGACCGAAAATATACACCTTATGATCTTCGGTGAGTATGGCACAATGGCGTAGTCCGAAGCTAATACGTTCTGGTTTATCGTTGCGTGGCAAAATAACAGGTAGCGGTCGGCGTACAGCATTAAATTCACGTTGACAAAGTCCCAACTGCTGAAAGCAATTAGAGCCCCAAACGTAAAGCTTTTTCGTAACGGTTATGCAGCCAGATATATCCCAACCGCAAGCAATACTCGCTACTGGTACATCCTAAAACATAATCAGGTAAAATATACTGACATATCTGTATCATAGACAATGGAGAAATTAATTGCAAATACCCCGAAATATTCCCCAGGTATAATTTGGAAAGTATTGAAGCATTCCTCGCGCGAGTCCAAGCCCAACTGACCGCGACCATTCCACCCGCACGCGTGTATCCTTCCACTTGTATCGAGTACAAGCACATGACCGCCACCGCCGCGGATGCGGCGCACGCAAGTTGGATTAAATGAATAATCTCGCACAATTTGCGGTGTCATACACAGCTCCGATTCATAGCCAAGGCTAAGCTGTCCGTGCGAGTTGGCGCCCTGGTATGTAAATGATTAAAAAAATGAAACACTATTATTTATTACTCCCAACGATTGAGTGCCAACTGATTTGCAATTCAAATTCACTGCTTACCCAGGCGTACACCGACATTATGGTACAATAATGTGATATCGTTGCAGCCACTAGTTGCTACTTCCGGCGCACGAAAATCTCAGGCAATTTACTCGATAGCGCGCAAAGTCGTTCGTCGCAGGCGTACTGGCTGTGTCCTATTTGCTTCCTTGCCAGTTACCGACTGTTGTCGTGAATTTGCTTTCGCCTACCTTTTAGCTTATTTGTTGATGAATTTGCGTTTCTTGTGCACTCGAATTGTTTTTTGGCTGATTGCATGTTTTAGCCAAATTAAATGCACTTTCTTTAACGAGGTGGATGGTTGTTTTTTTTTATGATGTGCTTCGAGAAATNGTTGTTTTGATTGAACACAGGGTGATATGGAGGAACACGTTTTTCATTCTATTATTTGCCATATTTTTTAACATAGAAAATATGAGATAACCGGAAGTCAGATATTTTTATTCTTTTCATATCTACCTTCTTACTTATTGGTTTTTTGGCTTTTCTGTGGGATTAATTTATGTCTGCTAACCCGCGTCCATTAAATCTTTAGCGTAACCCAGTGGTCACCGCGCGAAAGAAACGTAAGCTATAGCTCACCGTGGAAGCTTTGTCATTAAAAAAAGATTGGACTAGCTCTGCCTACCGGTTTAGTGGTCTCAAAGTTTATCTCTATCCGTCCAACAACAATTATGGAGCGATGTTCATCGATATTTACTTGGGGCAAGTACGCTGTACTTTAGAAAACATGATTCCATCGACATCAGCTTGGTGTACACATTTATCAGCCTCTCAAGAGCCTTCAGAAAAAGAAGTTATTCTTAGGTTGACCTTGGCAACTGCTGCCTGTCTTTCACATTATTCTGTCCCATCTTCAAAAAATATCTGAACTATTCCAAGCTCGCGGCAGGGTCTGCACATTTCTCTAGTTAGAAGATTTCGCTAGTCGTTTTTTAAGACAATAAAGATCAGAGTTCTACTATGGTGACTTATTTCTTCAGTTGGCTTCCTGAGGCGGCAAACTTACTTATAAGCGTCTGACAGAATTTTTGACAGGCAATCGGTCATCCTTTCCAACGCCCATGTGTTCTCAACCAACTCCTTGACAAGCGCTTAGTTTGTAGGAAGTATCTGCCAAGAACCTTCTTTCCACACCGCCACCAATACCCTAGGCTCAGATCAAAGTGTAAGACCAGTAGTACTACTTCACTTTAGCCCTACGTTCGTTGTAGGAACTTTGCCGTTATTAGCTACATTCAAATTGCTGCGTTTTACCTCTAGCGGTGTGTAAACATGCCAGGTTGCTCGGATTAGAGCCTTCTATCCATCGTGTTCTAAGGCAACAATCACCACATCTCCAGTACTTTTATTACCAGAATTGCCACCCTAGCTTTGCGGCTAGATGTGCGCGGAAGTTACGCGCCTTCAGCCCTGATGTCTTTCTTTCCGACAGGAACCATGGCTGCTGGACTAGTGCCACATCAAGCGAGTCCTCTTCCGCTGAGAAATTCACTCGACTCTCTCCGCCACGCTCAAGCTTTCTTTCTCGACTTCTCCGGCTTCAACAGTATTTAAATTGTCATATTTTGGGTTCCACTTCCTAAGTCGAAGATACACACTACCCATATCTTATCTTCTGGCTTTTTGTTGAGCTAGATGACAGAGTTCTACCCTACCAGGTCTTAGATACGTGAATCACTCTCCAAAGCTGTGTTGGTAAATTCGGGTTTTGGAATTGCAGCAGTCTAAAAACGTTCACCGCCTTCACCACACACGCAATTCATACTTTAGCCTTAAAATAAATTTTACTATGTCAAAAGAAGTCATAGGTCTGCCCGGTTCTTCGCGCATCCTCCTTATTATCTGGCTCAACAGATCTTTTTCTACAGATATCCACTTCTCGGTGGTTATTTGTTCACCACGGTCATATACTGCCTCGAAACAGTGCTGGTTCTCATGCTGGAAGCCTGAAATTCTTTCCTTCTGGGCTCTTGCTTATCGCCACGTCCACCTTTCTTCTGAAGTCTTATAGGTTGACGTATTTTCATCGAAACTGTGAAGATCCTTGTGCTTCTGCTTAGCAGCCCTGGAGTCGACAACTCAACGCCCATCAGCCCCAAAGCTCCTTGTGTTGAGCGCTTGTACTCGTCTTTCCTCCGTCTCGCAGGTTTGGTGGTTGTATGCTCGTCTGCCCGCCTGTGCCGACTCTAAGGTGCAAGCTAGCTGGAGCACCCCTATCATTCACCATTTGTGGGATTCGCTAGCAGTCTTCTCTCCTCTGCGCTATCCAGGTCGGAGTCTTCTCTGTTCGGATTTTTCTCTAGGACTCTAGCGACCAGCACACTCTCCCTATCACATTCATCCTGGTCGTACGACCCCTGCCCAATGTGGCGGGCCCAGTGGTCAACATTAGTGGAGGTGAAAACAAAAGATTCTACGCGTGCCTTAAAGCGACAAGACCGCCCTTGCATACTGAGGCGGCCCTGCGTCAAGAAGGCTCCATTATAATAAGACCGCCTGTCTACAAATCGTGCAATAGGAAGGGTCGTTGCATAACGTCCTGGATGACGGAGGGTTTGTCAGTTCTTGGTCACAGTTTGCCTGCAGCCCGAGCCCGGACAGATGCAGCGCAGATGATGGCTAACCAAGCACACGCGTTGCTCCGATTCTGAAGCGATCTGTGGAAGGCTCAGTTGAGCCCCCACACCGCGTCAAAGGGCCTACACCAACAGAGGCTTTAAGACTCTTTTATCTGGGTAAATACTTACCGCTTCAGGGAGCTAAATAAGTTGCATTTACAAATATACATATTTTTTAGTTGAGGTAATTTTCATTTTTCCGTCCGAATGTTGTCCTTCAACAGCAATTAACGGCTTCTTTTTTCCTACAAATGTCTATACCAATATTTTTAGCTAATATCTCTTTTACTGTTATTCATGCAAAAATTTAATTCGAAAATCGTTATTCTCCTTACACGGTTGTAAAAAATAATGACGGCACCCACCAGCATGGCAAAGTTAAAATTAAAAAAAAAGAAAGAAAAAACTATGCGATTACAACCAACGGCCGCCAACGAGCACAGATAATAAGCGAAATGCACCTGAGCAAGAGTTAATAGAGCAAAAATGACAAAAAGCAACAAAACAAGCAAAAATCAACGACGAATTAAAATACCAAACCAAAGGCATTTAGTGCAAAAGGAAATTTGAGGAAAAGCGCACAGCACGAGCGTGGAACCTGTCGCTTTGTGTCTGGCTGGCTGGCCGGCTGGCTGGCTGTCTGTCCTCAATGTTGACTATTTAATATTGGCCGCCTAGCGTGAGCCGCAGACTGGTTGAATTGCAGCGGAATGCAGCGACCAAATGGCACAGCGCAATGGAAATGGTAATCGAAATGAAAATAGAGTTATCTACCATCACCAGAGTTCCAGAGTTTTTGTGAAAACAACTGTCCGATCTGTCCGTAGCTGTCTTAGAAATGCGAGGTTAATATCAAAATATTGCTGGTATGCCCGGCAAATCGTTGCACTTTGCAATGCAAAAATATACCCTTACTCGCGAAATAAAATCTAATAATCGGGCGCAGCGGCGTTGTGCCACAGCAGCAGCAACCAAGTTACCTACATAGTCTGCAATTGGCTTGTCATCGTAATTATCGAATTGTTTTGTTGCTTCCAAAATTTTGTAGTTTTCTGCTTCTTTTTTTTCCAAATTTATTTTCCTCATCCGTTTCCAAAGCCAGCTGCTGGCCTGATTGCCTCTCGCGATGCCACAAAATGCAGCGGAGTTTCGCATAAATGAAAAAAAAAAACCTGCCAGCTTTTATCCAATGCAAGATTTATTCAATGGCTAAATGGGTTAGTAAGAAGATGAGTTGCAACAGCTAAAAAAAAAGCTCTAACTAACCGTTTAAGCAGATGGCAGCAAGCGACTTTGGCGCTGTACTACATATTTTTGGTTGGACTCGTCGTAGTAGGTACAAGTGCAACGTCAGTCAGTTAGGCAATCTACGGTTGGTATTTGCAAAGTGGATTATTAGGTTTGTTAGACTGTTGCGCTGCGGCGATTTATTTTTTTGAAGTCGTGAAAACATCATTAGCGCAGTTATCAATTGCTTTAATTTTTTTTGGATTAGTAGGAATCAGAAATATTACAACGGAAAGACTTACTAGTCCTTAAGAGTGCCTCCAGTGTTGCCAGCGAAAAATTTGCAATTGTTAAGAGTGCTGCTAATGGAAATTCCCTCAAGTAATTCAATAGCTGACGGAAACAAACTTATTTTCCTTTTTTTAAGAGTAATTTAGTAGCCACAGCATTTTCACACGAACTTAATCAAAGTGGGGGAAAACTTTGTCTTATTTTTTGTAGGCTGAAATCAGAAGACCCGAGACTGTAGAGGCAGCCCTGAAATGAACACTAGAAAGGTCGTCTAATAGGCATACCGCTTCTAGCCATACTCATTGAGAAAGATGCTTGTTCGAGTCACATACACAATGGTAGCAAAGTTACCCCTTAGAAAGCTCTACAAGGTAAACAAAATTCCTTGAAGCGATGCTTATAAATCGACACCCCAATAATCGGCGAAGGATCTAATGTCTGATACATTGATGGATCCGGACTTGAAGATGGGAGTACGGGGCCAGCGAATTTGGATCCAGATTACAGAAAAGTGTGCCAATGGTCACAAATCTCATAAAACGCTGTTAATGGTAGTAGTGAGCTGCAAAAAAGTCCGGTACCTTTTGATGGGTTCCGAGTGATGTATCCCAGGCATACATGGACATACAGAAGTCCCAAAAGTAGAACACCAGCACAAGATTTTCAGGTGTTTATCGCTTTTCAGGCTTTGTAGCGCTCGGTGCTAAAGCCGTAATATAAAACTTATAGTTAAATAGAGCTCGTAAGGCTTTAGCGCCGAAAGCCACAGCATCTGAAAAGCTTGTTATTGGGTGCTACTCTAACAGGGTGAGAGGACTCTCACTTTGGAGGCCACTGATATATGTATGTCAAAGTTTATAAGTGACCTGCAGTCCCATTTTTCAATAAAAGCCAAAGCTTGACAACAGACCCACCGAAATTAGTAAAATGAGTTTTTACCGCCTGTTCTCCCCAGTCAATTCTGAGCGAAAT